GTACAGTGGTGCCTTGGTTCTCAAACTTAATCCGTTCCGGAAGTCCTTTCCAAAACCAAAACGTTCCAAAACCAAGGAGCACTTTCCCATAGAAAGTAATGCAAAATCGATTAATCCGTTCCAGACTTTTAAAAAACAACCTCTAAAACGGCCGTTTAACATGAATTTTACTCTCTAACGAGACCACTGATCCATAAAATCAAAGTGATAAACAATGTACTGCAGTCACACAAACAATCAATCAGTTGCTGAACTGGGTTCCACACAGTCACAAAAAAAAGAGCCACAAAAATGCAAAATAAATAGCAAATATAGACAGACCACAGCGTAACACTCAAAACAGAAGTGTGGCACTCAAAACGGAAGTGTAACACTCAAAACGGAGCACGTTTGGCTTCTGAAAAAATTCACAAACTGGAACACTTACTTCCGAGTTTGCAGTGTTTGGGTTCCAAGTTGTTTTGAGTACCAAGGTGTTTGAGAACTGAGGTACCACTGTACTGGGACCTTTTTCTCTAGAAGAAAAGCACTGGTTAGAAATGTGGCCCTTATTGCAACAACTTCATGGTGAGTACCAGCACCTTATTTTCTAGAAGAAAAGCACTGCCCCCCCCCCATTGACATGAATGCACCTAAATCAGCCATGCCCATTAAATTCAACGGGCTGGCTCTGAGCAGGCCTAGCCTTGCTGCTCTAACCCATTGAATTTGCATGCAAGTAGGAGTTGAGCAAATATATAAATTTCAGTTTCTCTGACTTTCTCATTTTTTGTGGTCTTGAGTTCAGTTCTTCACATTCCGGCATCATTTCCCCCCCCCCCCCTTTATTAAGGTTCTCATGAAAAGTATCAGCGTTTCACTGAGACTTTTCCCTAATGCACACATTTTTAAATGCAATCTTGCTTGATGTGTATGCACAGTTTTGCAGAGCAATTTCTCTGGATAGAATGCATTCGTTTTCAGTAATACCTAAGCGGATGCATTTTGTGCAGCTTCCTTGGCTAGAAAACCGCATTGCAAAATTTTGGGGAACTGCTTTACCTGTGGCCCTCCCCACTTTCCTGGAAGGGGAGTAGCCAGGTGGCACTTGTGAGCTCAACTCCGTCTCTCTCCCACATCAGTGAGTAGATGGCAATACAGAAAAGCTGTAGCTCTGCATCAGGAGCTTGTGCCCCTCCTCTGCACGAGATCCAAGTGACTGCACTTAAAGAACAAACAAAAAAACAAAAAAAGCCCCAGACACGTTAAATGCCATTGCACACTTAATTTAATCTGTAGATTGGTGCTCAGTGGGGTATTATCAGATGGGTAGATTGTGTATGGGACGCAGGTAGCACTGTGGTCTAAACCACTGAACCTCTTGGGCTTGCCGATCAGGTCGGCGGTTCGAATCCCTGAGACGGGGTGAGCTCCCGTTGCTCAGTCCCAGCTCCAGCCAACCTAGCAGTTCGAAAGCACACCAGTGCAAGTAGATAAATAGGTACCACTCCGGCGGGAAGGTAAACGGCATTTCCGTGCGCTGCTCTGGTTCACCAGAAGCGGCTTAGTGATGCTGACCACATGACCAGGAAAAACTGTCTATGGACAAACGCCGGTTCCCTTGGCCTGTAAAACGAGATGAGCGCCACAACCCCAGAGTCGTCTGCGACTGGACTCAACTGTCAGGGGTCCTTTACCTTTACCTTTTAGATTGTGTATATTGTTAAAGGAGAGAATTAGCTGTGAGACAGCACCCTCCCACCTCCTTCAGGGCACACTGGCCGTTATCTGATGACTTTAAAAGAGACATTCCTGGAGAAGAGGGCTATCGATGGCTACTACCCATGATGGCTTTGCTCGGCCTCTACAGCTGGAGGCAGTAAGGCTTCTGAATACCAGTTGCTGGAGAATGGTTATGTAAGCTTTCAGAATATTTAGAATTAGCCAAATTGACAGATATAATAAGACAAAAACCAAAAAGTGAAGTGAAAAAGGAATGGGAGTGCCTAAATGAATACCTTAAAAGCCAAGGTTCGAGGACAGAAATCTGGCTGAGTCTGGAATAACCTTGTGAAGTGAAAGGATAAGAAAGAGGGATTTATATCTAGATGCTAGGATAGAGATGCTAGATGCTAGGATAGAGATGATAAGGAAAACAGGATGATACAATGAGAGGTAAAGGAGGTGCTGTGGGATTGGTAGAAGTCAATGTTTATATTATTAATTTGTAAGATATGGATTTGTTGTTATTTTGTATGCTGGTTTTTATGTTTTGTGTATTGTTGATATTTTTGATATTTTTCGTGTTGTTGTTGTTGTGCGGAAAATACTAATAAAATTTATTATTAGAATACCAGTTGCTGGAAACCGCAGGAGGGGAGAGTCCCCTTGCGCTCAGATCCTGCTTGTGGCTTTCCCACAGGCAACTTCGATAACAGGAATTCTGGACTAGATGAGCCATTGGCCTAATCCAGCCGGCTCTTCCTATGTTCATAGCTGGGGCCTGAGAGAAACCAAAATGGACAAATCTGTCCTGCTCTAGTCTGCCTACCCCCCCCTTCTCCAGCAGTATAGCTAGCCACTCGGGTGCCAGGGGCGGACCAAGATGCCCATGGGGCACAGCAAACTGCCCATGGGGCAGGGCACACCACAGAGCCTCCAAGGAGTCCTCCTGCCCTCTCCCCCTCAGCTGTAGGGGAGCTGCAGGGCACCCGCGTGTCTCGGACGTGCTCCAGGCCCCGCGGTGTGGTGCCCCGTGTGCCCCTTCCACCTTGCTGTGGCTCTGCCCTTCTCTAGCCAAGGGAACAAGGTTATCTCTTTGTGTAAAGACCAATGGATCACAGTTTTGAAAGCGTGCAAGACAGAGTGTGTGCGCTGTAATAATCTTAGGGTTAGTAATAATTTTAGACCTGATGCCAAGACAGTCAACTTTGGCTGTCTGCTGGCAGTGTGCCCAAGCTGCGTGCCACCATCTATGCTCAACCCGTATATATGCAGACAAAGATGAATATTACAAAACTCCAAGAAGCCCCTGGTGACCTCCATTCCATAGGGGTGACTGTGAACCCAGGCATAAGGTGCCTTCTTCATCTGGAGAAATGGTCACAATTCCGGCAGGCTCAGCAAACAACACTTCTGGGCCACAGCTCAGAAAAGCACCTCTGATCTGAGTCCCTGCCTTGCCGCTCTCCGGTAGGAATGACTTGCATGCAAAACCCTTTTAAGTTAGTGACTCTCATTGGATCAGGGCCACAGAGCTCAGATGCTGGTATATTTATCCTATATGGATGCTGTTGCCTGCCAGATTTTGCTTATATATAATACAGAGAGCGTCCTGCTTATCCGCCACTGCCATGGCGCTCTTTCTTGTGTTGTGTGCATTGGATGTTCCCCAGATGGAGTTCAAGTACTGTATGCATTTGGATATATGTATACATAATATATAATGTGTGTGTGTGAAGAGCATGCTTAATAACCATATGGGAGTTGTGCGCACTGCCTGCTTCCTCCTTTTCCTCCTCCTCTCATCTAGGTAGTGTTTATGTGTGAAAATATGTGAGCTCTCTGCTTCTCTCTGCTCAGCGACCTTCAAAGCCGTCCAGCAAAATTCGGCTTGGACACTGAGCTCAAGCAGATGGCCCATCCAGAGCATGCTGGCCACGCAAATTTGGGCTGTGTGTGTGTGTGTGTGTTTTCCACTCTTGATTCCTGCTCCTGCTCCAAAGGAGGCTCATGAAAACAACATATCCAGTGTGTGCTACTGGGAAAGGCGCCACACACCCCAGCTTGCAGAGAAAAACTGGGAGGGTTCCAAGCCTGGGAGAGGAGTCGAGGAGAGGGAGGGAAGAGAACATTACAACACATTCCAGGAGACTTTTTTCTTCTTCTTTTCCATGGACCTTCCTTCTCCACCGCCCCTTCTCCAATCTAAATGTGAAGCACAGAGAAAGGCATTTGGAAATGTGAATGGAGAGCAGAGGAAGAGGAGGAGGAGGAGGAGGAGGAGGAGGAGGAAGAAGAAGAAGAAGAAGAAGAGGAGAACCGGTTTTCCTGCACAGAAGGCAAGCTTCGAAGCGCGCAACCCTTTTTGCCAGAGAATGGATAATGCAGCAACAGTGGATGAGGGGCACAACAAATGTAAAATAACTTCTTGGAGAGCCAGGAAGAAATCAAACCCTCTGGTTTCTGAAGGAGAGCTTGCCGAGCGCCTTGGCCAATGGGCAGTATGCCAACTGCTGTGCCCTAACCCCAGCCATGAGGGAAATGAGTCTGCCTCTGTTCCTGTCTGCCCCCAGGCCTGGAAGGCAAGACCCGCTGCCACCAATGCCTGCTTCAGCTCTCCTGGCTACGCCTTTCCCCACTGGGGGCTTATGTGGCAGCAGTGGCTGGGTTTGGGCTGCTGGCCACCATTTAAAAGCCAGGCCGGGAAGCTTTCCCAGCCCAAGGACCACGTTCTCTTCTGGGCAGCTTTCTGAGGGCCACATAACAATGGTGGGTGGGGCCAAATGTGAAAGGGGGCGGGGCAACAAAGGCCAATTTTCCCTTGGTACTGTAGGATAGTTTCTACCCGCACTCACCTCCGCTGTCTATGCAGACAAACAAGAGGCATTGGTAAGAGTTGAGGGATTCATTCCAGTCAGGCAAATACACTGAGGGCACCAAGAAAGGACAGCGAGAGGCGTGGCCTGCAGAGTGGGGTGTGGCCTATGCAGAATTCCAAGGGCCAGACGGAAACACCTAGAAAGGAGCATTTGGCCCCCCTGGCCTAAGGTTCCCTACCACTGATTTCAAATTTCCCATAATGCCCTGGAGTGATGCCATTAAAATGAGGAATAAGTACATAAGGGAGAAGGGTTCCAGCTGGTTGACTAATGTGCCAAATTCTTGCTTGCAAAAGTTGCTGTTTTGTCATATAGGACGACGTTCAGAAAGGAGTTTTCCCCACCTGTATTCTGAAGTGGGATTGTCCATTCAGATATACACATGCGGGTTAACACTTTCTTTCCCTTCTCAAAGCCATGAGCTCCCCCCCCATGTGGGATTTGAACCCACAACCCTAAGATTCAGAGTCCTATGCTCTTCTGTCTGAGTTATGTCCTGCACCATAGTCACCTTAGGGCAATTCCATACCCTCGCTCCATTTCTGGAAAATAAGAACATTTGCTGTGTTGGATCCTTAGACCAAATCTTCTGTGTAGAAGCAGTGCAAGAAACTAACGTGCATCTTGGAGTGATGACTGGATTTGGCTGTAGGTCCTCTAGGGAGGGCCATAGCTCAGTGGTAAGAGCATGTGCTTGGCAGGCAGAAGGTCTTGGGTTCGATCCCCAGCATCGCTCTACTTTGAAAGGTCCGGGAAAAGCTTGTGCCTCAGACTTTTGAGGGCTGCTACCTTTCATTTAGAGTGGAGCAGGTATGAGGAATCTGGGGCCTTTCAGAACTACAGTTCCCATCACCCCTGACCGTTGGCCTAACTGGCTGGGGTTGATGGGAGTTGCAGTCCAGCAACATCTGGAGAGCAGCAGGTTCCCTGCCTTTGGTATACTCAGCTAGATGAGCCATAGCTTCATCTGTTCCTGCGACAACCTACTGATACCAAGGGATGAGTGATAATTGACAACCTAAGACACACAACTCTTGCTATTGCGATTACTTACATTAATATCCAACCTTTTGTCCAAGGAGCTCAAAACAATGTACCTGGTCCTCCCTTTCCCCGTTTTATTCTTGCAACAATCTCACAGGTTAGGCTGGAATCCTAACTGTGCCAACTCCAATGGGATTAAATGGGGTTTACTCCCAGGTAAGAGGAAATAGAGTTGCAGCCTTTGTGACAAACTGAAGGTTCCCAAGTGGGAACTTCATGGCCGAGCAAGGACTTGAATCTGGGGTTTCCCATCTCTAGTCCAACACTCTAACCACTACACTACACTTTCTCTCGGGAATTTGTCCTGGGAAGCTCAGAAATATAAAATGGTAAAGCTCCTCCTAAAACTGTAGCCTAGAGGGGAAACAGGTGTGTTTCCTTGGTGTAAAAATACAAAAGAAATATCTCCATGTATGTGGAAATCTAGCAGCTAAGGAGAAGACTAGACTAGACCCCAACCTTCTCCTTGCTATCCTATTTAACAACTCAATCTGTTTCACCCTTTGGGCTGTTATCCCACCTCTATACTCTAGGGGGAGCTCTGTGAGAAGCAAGAGCCTTGCTTCAGTGACCAGCCTATTTCGAAATATGCTCTCTTCTGCTACCCCAAAATGGGCTGGTGATTAGGTGAGGAGAGCCTCCCTGATTATCAAAACATACCATGAAGCAAAAATGGATACATTTCCTTACATACCTTTGATGTCGGGCTTATTTCGCCTTTCCATGATTTGATCAAAGGAAATTGTGCTGTTATTTGAATGTGTCTCCGTGCCTAATTCATTTTCAGTGATGAAAGTTTTGCCATCTTGATAAAAAAGGAAAACTTGCTGGAAGAAGAAGCTGGGGGAGGAGGAGGGGGGAGGAAAAAACAGCCTTATTATTTTCCCCCTTCGTGCATAAAATGCCCATATAAATGAGGAACCAGATAAGCTTTCTTTGCATGCCTTTGGAGAGTCGCAGAAATGTAGAGGTGAGAGAAATGGAATCTGTAGATCATCCAAAATTGTGTATTTGATTGAAACAGCAGCATGTAAATCTAATAAGCAACAACATCTGGGATAGTCATCGCTAAGAACAGCAGAATAGAGGAAGCTGCCTTATACTGAATCAGACCATCATGCCATCTAATGCAGGATACTGACAAGAGATCTCCAGGGTCTCAGACAGGAGTAGTTTGCCATCATAGTCCGACCTGGAGGTGTTAGAGATTAAGCCCCCTTCCGCACTATACATTTAAAATGGTATCATACCACTTTAAATGGTAATAGTTTCCCCCAAAGGATCCTGGGAACTGTAGTTTCTGAAGGGTCCTGAGAGTAGTTAGGAGGTTTCCCCTTACAATCAAGCAGTATATATAATTTTATTAAATAAATAAATATTGCCATCATACAGATACCATTCCCAAAGGGACGCAGGTGGCACTGTGATCTAAACCACTGAGACCCTTGCACTTGCCGATCAGAAGGTCAGCGGTTCGAAACCCCACGATGGGGTGAGCTCCCATTGCTCTGTCCTGGCTCCTGACAACCTAGCAGTTCAAAAGCATGCCAGTGCAAGTAGATAAATAGGTACCACTGTGGCAGGAAGCTAAACAGCGTTTCATGCACTCTGGTTTCCGTCATGGTGTCCCATTGTGCCAGAAGCGGTTTAGTCATGCTGGCCACATGACCCAGAAAGCTGTCTGTGGACAAACGCCAGCTCCCTCGGCCTGAAGTGGGATGAACACTGCAACCCCATAGTCGCCATTGACTGGACTTAACTGTCCAGGGGTCCTTTACCTTTTACCATTCCCAGAATTCCATGGGAAGAAAGATTGGCTATTAAACCACTCTGGAAGCTGTAGCTCTGTAAAGGGGACAGGGGGTATCCTAACAACTGCATACCCCTCAATTGTCCCATTTTAAGTGGGACATCCTGGAATCACAAAAGCCAACCAATCCTGGCTTCTGATTGGTCCAGCACTCTGGTGCGAGACAGTTGGGTTGCACCAGAGGACTGGAAGAAGTGTCTTTTGGTCTCACGTATGCACGAGAGCACAGGACCGAAAAAGGAGTGTCGCAATTTTGGTCCCAGGAATCTTGGACGGAATGCAACTGTCAGCACCCTTAATGAACTGCAGTTCCAATGACTGTCTTTTTTGTGGGAGGAGTGGGGGGAGCCGTGGCTGTTTAAAGTGGTATGATGTTGCATTCTGCAGATGGAGCTTGAATGTGCGGTCTTTTGCCTTCAGGGTATGCACTCTAGCACTGATACAGCCAGGAACAAGCACTATGAATTGCAAATGACAACAGGAGACCTGCAAAAGTTATTATTTTTTTTGAAAAATGCGGCATGTAGAGTGCTCCTGTTTAGGGTTCCAGCCAGCCATACCCTCCATTGCATACTCCATTCCATTTCCCCTCTTCTGTTTCCTGCATTCCAACAGCTGGTCAGCATTCTGTGGCCAGCCACTAACCATGTCAATGGGCTTTTTTTGCAGATCTTCATCCTCCCTACTTTGGGTTTATTCTTCTTTAAAATGATCATACATTTCTACTAACCTTGAAGCTCTCTCTCCAGCCTACTGATATCTGTTTCTAGTGCACAGGTGGGGTCAATTGGGTTACATAAGCAATGGCACTCACTGACTTAACACTGGAAATGAAGGGAATAATCACTCACCCCCAAATTCAATGGGTAAATCCATTATCCCTCTGTCTCTGCAATGATGTTATTATAGGCCTACCTTGCAGGTTTGTTGTAATGGGTTAAATTATGCAAAGTGTGCAAATCACACAGTTCCATCATTATCTACTTTGAGCAGAAAGCTAGAGTTTGCAGAGCGATAATTGCACGGAGGAAGGAAAAAGCAGTGCTGTGGATTCACCTTGAAATCAACAGGGTTGCAACCTGCTCTATAATTATTTAGCTCTGCACACACCCCTGCCTGTTTGCTGGTTATCTTGCAGTCCCCAGGGAATAAGGTGGCAGAATGGGCTGTACCACTTCTGCTAGTGGGGATGACGTTTTTGGTTTTTTGCATGCTCCCCTGTGTGAAAAACTCTGGTCCAACACCTCTCTCTCTCTGATGATGTGCAGCTATTGGTTGCTCATGCTGCCAGGGCAAAAGCACACTGTCAGCCCATGGTGCAGTGCGCTTTAAGACTTTTCACATTCATTTTATGAAGATTTGTTTAGTGGGCTTGTTTAATTAATAAATAAATATATATATAAGGGAGCCCTTGGCAGAGTGCCCTGCAGCAGATGGCGGCTGCCACCTTAATGACCCACAATGCCCCAGAGTGACATCATGTCAGGGGCATTGTGGGAAATAAAAAATGGTGGCTCCTAGACCCACCTCACACATTTTTAGGAATAAGTACGAAGTTGGCAGCTGCTGTTTTCTAACCTTGGGCCAGTTTGGTTTGATAGAAAGTTCTTATATTTTTCTGCCTCTGAGTCCTTCTGTGATGGATTTTAAAGTTCCTTGCAACTGGAAGGTGGCAGATTCCCCCCCCCAAAAAAAACCCCCATCCGAACCATTTCTAAGGTGCAAGTCTTCTTTCCCCAGAGCAGGCACTTCCATGTGATAAATTGAAGTGTTGATTAGCATCATCGCCTTGCTGCTTCACGCAGGAAAATGAGGTTCTTTTTTAAAAGCAAAAACAAAAAAAAACAACAAAAAATATGTTGGTACCTCACCCAAAATGAAATTCTGGAGAGCTAGGAAGGGCGTTGTGCCACACCTTCGCGGAATGCAATTTCCCAGAATCTGAGGCTCATGACAGATCCTGTCCCCAGATGAAAATGTCTTGGGAAAAACAAAAACAAACACCGACACTGTCAGATTCACATTTGCGAGAGGTGCTATCTTCTGCTCAAAGGTCGGAACATTTCTACATTTCCCCTCTCTGACACCGGTATAGGTTTCTTGTTGAGTCGCGCTTGGCTGGGCGGTCGGCTCTAGGGAACTGCGGCCATCTTTCTCCACAGCTAATACACAACAGCAGGCCAGCCACAGGACTGTGCAGTCACTCAGATTAGGAATTTGCCCAAGTTCCTCAGAGCAATCCTGGTCACTGATAACACTGTTATCTTACTGAAGCAACTCTCACTGGGTTCAGCGGGCCGTTCTCTGAGGTAAACACAAACAGAATGGTAGCATTATTCTCTGAGATCATAGAACTGTAGAGTTGGAAGGGACCTCCAGGGTCATCGAGTTTTCTGTCCTGCAATGCAGGGATCACAGCTAAAGAAATTCTGACACTCATCCAACCTCTGTTCAGAAAGCCTCCAAGGAAGGAGAGTCTACCACCTTCCAAGGGAGTCCATTCTGTGGTCAAACCCTGTGAGGCTATCAGAAAGTTCTTCCTAATGTTTGGTCAGAATCTCCTCTCTTGTAAATTGGGTCATCCAGAAAAGCACAAATATTACTTAAAGCAGACCCATTGAACTTAACGGACCTGACTTAGTTATGGGCATTAATTCCATGAGTCTAATGGTTGGGTTAAACCACAGAGCCTAGGGCTTGCTGATCAGAAGGTCGGCGGTTCGAATCCCCGCAACGGGGTGAGCTCCCATTGCTCGGTACCTGCTCCTGCCAACCTAGCAGTTCAAAAGCATGTCAAAGTGCAAGTAGATAAATAAGTACCGCTCTGGCAGGAAGGTAAACGCTTTTCTGTGCGCTGCTCAGGTTCACCAGAAGCAGCTTAATC